GCCTCCGAGGGGATTAAGGAGGCACGTGCGGCTCTGTTCTAACGGCCCTGCCTGGTGTGGTCTTAGTAGGGCTGGTTGGGGGCCACGCGGTAAAGACTGTGTCTGGGTCTCTGGACCCTCTCCACCACTCCCTGCACGCCTCCACTCTGACTGCCAACTTCCCCAGCCTCGAGTGTGTAGTGGGACAGAGACTGTGTTTATTGATCCCAGGGCCCATACTGTATGACTGGCACGGTGCCTGGCATACAGTAGGGGCCCAACAAATGTTTGCTGGGCAGATGAACGGGCGGGTGGATCTGTAGGCCTTGGACAAAAGGACGAAGCTGCTGACCGACTTGCTTGGTCAGGATGGGGGTGGGTGGTCACAGACAGCAGGGCCACCTCCTTCAAGCCTCAGGTGCCGTGGGCCATCTGCAGGCCTCAGTGGTGGCCTCCTCTTTGAGTAGCCCAAGGCCTCTCCTTACCCCTCACCCAGCCCCCAAAGAAATAGAGACGTCCCTGGAAATACTGCCTCCCCACCCCTCACAGCAGCCCTGATCAGGATGCTTCGCGGGCTCAGATGGCTGGTGCTTGGGGGCTATTGAGGGAAGAGGGTGGAGATCACATTTGTTATTTCTATTGGAAAGAAAAAGGTTGAGGGAGCCAGGGACGGGAGGGGCAGCAGACACTTTATGATGCTTCTTGAAGAGGGCCAGAGTGATGGACCCAGGGTCTGGGTCTCAGGTCTGTGTCTGGCCCCTTCTCTGGGCTTCCTTTGCCCATTGCTCTAATGAGGGCATTGGCTCTGCCCCCACAGCTGGAACCCTTGAACAAGGCAGAAGTGAGCCTCTCATGAGGGTACAGATGGTCACCTTGAGTGTAGGGATGGCAGAAGAATCAGTGGCTGAGAAGGACTCAGACCCCTCCAACCTGCTTAGCCCCCAAAACCGGGGCCTGCGAGTCGGATGGAACCACCGTGGCTCCAACAACAGTGCCCGCCTTGGTGAAACACTCACTGCGTGCCAGGCCCAGTCCCACCCAGCGTTTCAGTCAATTCTCCCGACCCGCTGACCTGTGGGTAGCTATTAACATCACCCTTAGGCAGGGAGGGCAGGCTGAGTTTCAGAGGCAGACAGCGACTTGCTCAGTGTCACACAGCGAGCACAAAGAAATTGGAAGCAGGTCTGCTGACCTCCCAAGTCCGTGCTCTTTAAGACCGTTTTATGGTTAGAGCAGCAAAATGGGGGTTTGCAGAGGGAGATGATACTGTCCCATCAGGTGCTCTCAGGCTGCATCTGCTCAGACTCGGGGAGGAATCTTCCCTGGAGACGGGACTGGCTGAGGTGACTTTCTAGCCCAGGCTACCACATTCTCCACCCTCTGCAGCACGGGACGGCGGCTGAGAAGTGACGGGGAGTGGACCTTGTGAGGGCTTCCGGCTGGAGTTCAGGGACAGGGGTCAGTGACTCCTGCTCTTCAGCCTCCCTGCACACACGCACACGTGCACGCGCGGTGCCACGGGCACAGGGTCGGGGTGTGGCGGCAGGGGGAGAGCAGACAGGAGGAGGATTCCTTGGAGACTCTTTATTTACTCTTTTCTGCAAGTTCTTCTCTCTGGAACGGCGACCGGCACCTCTTCCCGGGCCACGTCATGGGTCAGGACTGCGTCTGCTTGGGCTTGGGGTTCTTCTGGACCACAGAGTCGTCTTTGGCACCTTCCTCCTGCCACTCAGGCTCCAGCAGCAGCAGCTTGCCCTGCACCGGGAGTTCCTCCGCCTCTCCCTCTGGCTCTCCCTCCTCCTCACCCTCCGACGACAAGGAGAAGTTGTCCTGGCTCACGCAGACCACAAGTTTCTTCATGGAGGATTCGTGGCCCCGGCCGTGGCCCGTGCCGAGCTTGGCACAGTGGGAGCCCGTTGCCCACTTTGGCTGCCTCTCTGGACTGGGAGGAAAGGCCACTGGTGGGGTATGGAGGGGCCATCGAGGGTGGTAAGCAGAGCGCTGACATCACAAAGGGGATGTCACCCTGGGATACCTGAGTCTGAGCCGACACCTGAACTCAAACCTAGGCTACCAGCTGTCCCACTGAGCCCCTGCCACATACGGGGCAGGACCGAGGCCAAATGCCGGGCCCACACCCGTGCAGCCTCGCCCTGCCGTGTCGCCTCCTCCATCTGGCCTTGTTTGCCCTGGCAAAAGTTCCCCTTTTAGCTGGGATGAGAGTTGGGGATAGAATTTCCAGAAGCAGGAGAGCACACAGACTCCTCTCCACATCCCAGAAGTATCCAGCCCAAGAGAGCTGCTGACAGTATGTGATGAAAAGTAGCCACGAGGGAGCCTTCCAGGGGGCACTGGCAATGTCTGGCTTCTTGACCTGCATACTTAAAACATGTGCACTATACTTTTATAAAACTAAAGAAAACCCTACTCACTCCCTCCTGTTCTCCAAAATCACCCTTTAAAGGCAGCGGCTTGTAAGCTTTTGGGGCCACCAGCCTCTAGCTACACAGCCTCTAGCTACACATGCCCATCCAGCACAATTTCAGCCTGGGAGGGGGTTAAGTCTCCTTGGTCATTTCTGAGCACTAGGAATCTGTTTTCTGACATATAATATAGATACTGTCCCAGATTCTCAGTGGCTGTGGTAGGCTGAGAGGAAAGAAACTAATGTACCCCGTGAGGTAGGTACGATTGTTACATTTTACAAAGGGAGAGCAGGCTCAGAGAGGCTGAGTAACC